ATTCAGGACTTATTTTTCTTGTTTATTGATTGTAGATTTGTTTGTTTCGTCCCTTTTTTTTTTTTTTTTTAATTTGACTATGAGCAGGTGGACTGTGTGTTCTCTGTTGTTTGTTCATCTGTGGGCACAGTACTTTTCGCCTCCTTCTCCAATTGGCAGGGTCAGTCACTCAGATATGGTACGGCCGGGCAGGTCTAGCTGGAGAGGAGTTACTGGGACAGGTTGTTTGTGGCACTTACTACAGCCACGTGGGCGGGTCTAAATCAGTGCAGAGCAGGTTCCTGTAGGCCGTGTCTGTGCTTCTTGGTGGTGTGATGTTAAACACACTGTGCAGGTAGTTAGGATGTAGCAGGGAGATAGTTATGTGTGGAGCTAAGATGGATATGGGAGAGAGGAGAGAGGAACAGGAGCCCAAAACATACAAACAAACAAAAAAGAATGCTAGGGGAGCTTGCCGTTGGAGTGGAGAGATGAGAGACGGTTGTTTTGTCTCCCGCTGGAAGCTCCGTGAAGCTGCTTTCTCGTATCCCCTGTTTGCTGGTCTCCGATAGGAGTGCAAGATGGCGGATCTACACTGCATTAGCTGGTAGGGGACCTCTGCGTGAATCTCTCCTCGCTCTCCATTCTCTGTCAGTTTTCTCACTCCATTTGGTGCTTGTCTGAGTTCTGTATCTCTTCATTTGATGTTTTAGGGTTTCAGGATTGTTGTTTTCTTTGTCCAGCTTAGTTTTTCGGACCTATGCTGTGGAGGGACGACATGGTGCTTCTGCCTAGAGCGCCATTTTGCCGGAAGTCTCATAAGGGAAGTGTTTGTGATTCACACGGTAAGCTGATCACAAGTACTTATCTTTCACTGATCTAGGGCTGCTTCTCACTGGTTCTGGGTGGCCGTGTAAACTCTCTGGTGCTGGGTCTCTGCTGTTGCGAAAAACACACCTCGTGAGCGTTGCTGCTTGCTTGTCTTACCGCTTACCCCTGAGCTGATCAGGCCTGAAGGGCTCAGGCTCTTGCCGGGTCAGGTCTGGCAACTCCTCACTTCTTCCAAACTGTCTGTCACTCCCCCGTCACTCTGTCCGGTTTCTCAACTCTCCCTTTGATGTTCAGGGCTCCCAGATGACCATATATAATCGATTCACTTGTTTTTTCAGGTGTTTGTTGTAAGAGGGTCCACCAGAAGTGTCTGACTACTCCACCATCTTGGCCCCGCCTCTTATTGGTTGATTTCTCAGAAGTAGTTCACCAGGCCTTTCTTCCTAGTCTGTATTAGTGTGGAAGCTCTCCTGAAACCTGTCCACCATGGGTGACCCTGCTGGTATTTGAAATACCAGTGGCATAGCTTCCAGCATCCTAGCAAAATGCAAGCCACCACAGTAGGACAGACTAACCGATGGGTGTGTCCTTACATTAACCCATGGCTATTTCTCACCTAAGCATGGCCTTAGTTTAGGAGAGAAAATGTAGGATGCTTTTCAGGAGCAGTGATAATTTTCAAGAGCACCTGGATGGTAGCTTTATCATGTTCACATTTGAAATGTGTGTTTTAAACAGCTGCATTTATTTGACAACTTAATTGATATTGCAAGTTCAATAATCACTTATGTTTGACTATTTGGTTCTTCAGAGATTTTGTTATTTTCAAAGTTTTATTCTTTTTTCTGATTAGTGATTCACCAAAGAGTTTATAGTGATACCAGGCTTGAAATAAATCAATTTCTAAATTTGCCCTTCTAACATATTTAGGTCTTGAGCAGATATCCCCTTAGGGTTTCACAGTTATATAAGAAACATATAATGAAACAGTTTTTATTGTGGCAGTATTTTATATACCAAAGCCTATATGTGTGTGTGTGTGTGTGTGTGTGTGTGTATATATATACACACATATATATATACACACATAATTGCGATGTACATATGTGTAAGCCACGTAAACAAATGTAGAAGCTTCTAAAAGTATCTAATAAGAAATAGCTATCCAATATAATGCTAAACCACTGATCTCTGGTAAACTGGAAAAAAAATGGAATAAAATGGGGAAAATGGCTACATTTTTGTTTATTGCATCTTTAAAGGCATAATTTGAAAATAACTCCCTAAATCACCTCTTATCAACCTAGTCTTTTATTTTAATAATTAGAAATACTAACAAATAATGACATTACTAATTGAAATACCAATTTTGACAAGCCCCTACTTACTTCTCTATTAAATGGCTTCCTAAAAATATCAAAAGAAGTTAATGAATCACTTGTTAATTAAATTTGAACTTCTTTAGTATTTGAATGGGAAAAACTGAAATACAATTGATTAAAATTGCTTTTATTAGGTTGAACATTAACAACGATATAAATATAATATATAATAATGTTACACATGAATGTGATAAGAATCTGTAACATTCATAATGGAATTTGCTCATTTTGAATATTGATTTATCTTCTAAGTTCGTTTTGTCCCTGAAAATTCAAGTGCTGAAATAATGGCTTACCAGCTTTTCCTAATTAGCCAAGTGAAAGTTTTCATGAAAAATGTAAACGTTCTCATCTAACTAACAAGTCAATCTATCTTTTCTTCTCTTGTCTTAGCCTCTTAGCAAATATCCTGCTCTGATAAATGACATTTCATTCTGGTTGCCCTCTGAGAATTACATGGAGAATGATTTCTATGACTTAGTCCGAACAATTGGAGGAGACCTGGTGGAAAAAGTTGATCTTATAGACAAGTTCGAACATCCAAAGTAAGTGAAAAGTCTTTCTGATTTTCGTCTTTACTGTCTCTGCATGACAAATGGCATACGGAAACATACAATAAAATTTTACTTAGCTCCACTGCTTGTAAGACAAAATGTCTTGTGAATTTTATAGTAAACAGATAGCTTATTGGCAAACTCCTTTATATCAATCCTTTCTGAAAATCTTTCCGAAGTACATTTCAGTCCTTCCTGGCTCAGTAAAGAAAGTATATGAAACAGAACATTTTCAAGATCTCGCAGTTTTCCATTCCTGTTTGTGGAAGTGGTTTCTTGCTATATCACATTCCAAATACAGATGATGAGGCAGAAAGAGTTGTTTGTGGAGAAAAACTAGTTTCGAAGTAAATGTTTATTAAGCACTTACCCACACCAACCTCTGTATTAGGTTCTAGGAATTAAATGTGTTCAATACAGACTTAACTCTGCTTTCCTGGAGTTAACAGTCTTGTGGGAGAGGTAGATATTAAGTAAATTGTTACACTAAGTTTGAGTAAGTATTATGAAGGAAAAATACTTCGGGCATAGTCAAAGAATTAATTTCACCTGGAGAGTCAGGGAAGTGCTCTTTAAGAAGATGACATTTCAGCTGAGATTACTAGTATGTGGGGAAGTGAAGAAAGTGGGAAAGAACATTCCAGACAGCATGTGTGAATCCCTGGGGGGAGGGGAAGTACCATATGTGAAATGCAGGAGGCAACAAAGAGCATGGTGACTCCAGAAATGAAAAGTGGAAGTGGGCGAAGAGAAATGACCAAGGGTCAAGATGTGGCTACAGGGCCCAGGCAGGGGCCTGAACCTGCATGGGCTGAGATTTGGAATTTTATTCTAAATGCAGTTGGAAGATGTGGAAGGATAGGAGGATTCCTTGCTCATCACCTTTAAATGGTTTCCTTTGACCCCCAGCTATTAGAGTAGGGGCAGCCACCACATCTTATCTAACTCCCATCCTCTTTCTCTCCTCCCTGCCTGATGTGTGTAGTTGAATCGTAACTACATTGTCATAGCCTATGGCATTCATGTTCTATCCCATCAGCCAAATCCCCATCTTTTTACCTCGTTTGTTTTTTTAAAGTCTTAGTTCTCTAGACAGAGACATTCAGTTGCCAGTTTACTGCCAGTTGCCCAGCCATCTAGATGGCAGAAGTTCATCATCTATAAATTTCCTCAAGGACTTGTGGAAACAACATTCCCTGAGATCTTGCATGTTTAAAAGCTGTTTATCTGTTTATACTTGAATGGTAATTTGGTTTAGCATAAAAATCCTTGGGTCACCTTTTCTTTTATTGAGGATCTTGTGTTGCTCAATTATCATCTCAAGTTTAATTTGATATAAAGAAATCTAAGGCCAGGCTTGATCTTTTTACTTTTTATCCTAAAGGATTCTTTCTTTATTCTTAGAAGTTTATAACTTTATCAGGATCTGTTTCAATGTTGACATATTCTCCCTGGTATATATTGTTGTCGTTCACTATTCTGATTTGACACTGCTTTTGTTTTAGGAAAGTTTTCTTGAAATATAACTTTAAAAATTTGTTCTGATCCATTGCTCTGTTCTGTTTCATTCTTCAGGGATCCCAGGTATACATGAGTAGGCTCTCCTTAGTCTGACATATTGTTTTCTCTCTAATGCTTTAAACCTCTTTATTTCCGTTTCACTTTGTCTGCTCTCCTTGTTTTTATCTCCTCTGTCCCTTACTCTGTTTTCTGCGGTCTATTCTCCCTTATGCATCTTCTACTCCTATCTTCAGTTATTTGTGTTCTTTCTTTTCTGAGTTCTGCCAGCTCACATTTTATCTCCTCCTGTTTTCTTCCCATCTCTTCTCTGATATCTTATTTCTGTTTTGTGCTCTTCTTTCCTAGAGGGGTTGCTTCATTTAATTTTTTAAATTTATTGCAAAATATTTGGCCAGAAATTTTATGCACTCCAATGGCAGCATATTTCTAGGGCTACTCTTTGTCTGTTAGTAGTTTTTCTGCCATTTTCTCATTTTTTAAAACTATTTTTGAATTGATGTGTCAATGGTATACTCATATTTGAATGAATGGGGTTTCCTGTGTCAGCTGTTTCCACAAGTTTAGTTTGCTTTCTCAACTTTAAGGTTGTAATTCTTTGTGTAGATCTGCTTCCCACCCCAATTCAGCGCAGTTTCAGCACTTGGTGGTGATATAGATTTTGCACTTGAGACTGTAACCCTTAGCTCTGAAAAAGTGTATTTTGCCCATGTTTTCTGAGATATGCCATTCCTTGCATTTCTTTTCTTCACTTCTTCCCATTTGGCTTCTTCTTGATTTCAGCTACTCTTGGCAGGCTTTAAATATATTTTAGAGCTTGCACATGATATCTGTCTCCTAACTTTACAGAAAATAGAATTTATGGTGTTTGCTATAGTATCCTCCACCGTCTCTTTGCACAGATGTAGTCAGTTTGATTCCTGTGTATTCCATCTGGCAAGATCCATAAGTATAGTCGCTGTTTCTGTTGTTAAAAAAGGTATTTCCAATGACTAAGTTGTTGGTCTTGTAAAATTCTATCCTGTGATCTCCAGCATCATTTCTGTCACCAAGACCATATTTTCCAACTACTGATTCTGATTACTGATTTGTAATCAAATCAACTACATCTGTGTAGAGAGATGATGAAGAAGCTCAATATCATCTGTCAGAACAAGGCCAGGGGTCGACTGCGGAACAGACCATCAATTGCTCATATGCAAGTTAAGGTTGAAGATGAAGAAAATTAAAACAAGTCCTTGGAAGCCAGAGTACAACCTTGAGTATATCTCACCTGAATTTAGAGACCATCTCAAGAATAGATTTGATACAGTGAACACTAATGACTGAACACCAGAAGAGTTTTGAGGTGACATCAAGGAGATCATATATGGAGAAAGCAAAAAGTCATTTAAAAAGACAATAAAGAAAAGACCAAAATGGATGTCAGTAGAGACTATGAAATTTGCTGTTTACTGTAGAGTAGCTAAAGTGAATGGAAGAAATGATGAAGTGAAAGAGCTGAACAGAAGATTTCAAAGGGTGTCTTGAGAAGACAAAGTAAAGTGTTATAATGAAATGTGCAAAAACCTGGAGTTGGAAAACCAAAAGGGAAGAACACGTTCTGCATTTCTCAAGCTGAAAGAACAGAAGAAAAAATTCAAGCCTCGAATTACAATATTGAAAGATTCTATGAGCAAAATATTGAACGATGCAGGAAGCATCAAAAGAAGATGGAAGGAATACACAGAGTCACTGTACCAAAAAGAATTGGTCACCGTTCAACATTTTAGGAGGTAGCATATGGTCAAGAACCGATGGTATTGAAGGAAGAAGTCCAAGCTGCACTGAAAGCATTAGCAAAAAACAAGGCTTCAGGAATTGACGGAATGCCAGTTGAGATGTTTTAACAAACGATGCATTGCTGAAAGTGCTCACTCTTCTATGCCAAGAAATTTGGAAGACAGCTACCTGGCCAACTGACTGGAAGAGATCCATATTTATGCCCACTCCCAAGAAAGGTGATCCAGTGGAATGCAGAAATTATCAAACAATATCATCAATGTCACACGCAAGTAAAATGTTGCTGAAGATAATTCAAAAACAGTTATAGCAGTACATCAACAAGAAACTGCCAGAAATTCAAGCCGGATTCAGAAGAGGACGTGGAAAGAGGGATATCATTGCTGATGTCAGATGGATCTTGGCCGAAAGCAGAGAACATCAGAAAAACATCGACCTGTGTTTTATTGACTACACAAAGGCATCAGACTGTATGGACCATAACAAATTATGGATAACATTGTGAAAAATGGGAATTCCAGAACAGTTAATTGTTCTCATGCAGAACCTGTACATAGACCAAGGGACAGTTATTCAAACAGAACAAGAGGACACTGCATGTTTTAAAATCAAAGAATTTGTATGCCAGGGTTGTATCCTTTCACCATACTTATTCAATCTGTATGCTGAGCAAATAATCCAGGAAGCTGGACTATATGACTTGTAATTTTTCTCACCCTTGCTTATTTTGCAGAAAACACTGAAATCGAGGATTCAGTTTTGTAAACTACCTAAGAAGCTGAGAGAAATTGCTATTGTCCTGGATATGGGGTTAGATGTGTTACAGAAGAGGGATGTGTTTGGAGGGAAATAAATTGATTGCAAACATTGAGTCTTTCTGCCTGTAGATGATTTGTAGTGATGAAAGTAGATGATGAAGAGCACGGTAACTGGAAAGACTGCAATGGGAGTGGGTGAGTGTAGCGGTCCTGTGGACCCAGGGACAGACCAGACAAGTAGGTTCCTGGGGCACAGGTCTAAAACCGTAAAATGTCACTGGACTGCTTTAGAAATACGTTTTCAGTGAGGTCTGTGCACACAACTCCATGCTAACTGAAGAAAGGTAAGTTTATCCAGTTCCTTCTGAAGGAAACAGTACTTTTTATTGGAAATTTAAAAAAAAACAAACAACCCATGAAAAACCATTTCTGACTGGCACTGGTCATACCATCTCTTAAATAAACATACAGATATTTAAAGACGGTCACTTTGTAGCTGTGCCAAATTATTCGCCTGCCCAGGGCACACACCTTTCTTATTAAGGGGCAGACTTCATATTCAGAGTAAGATTCCTGTGGCAGAGATTGCTAATTATTTCTCAATATCCAATTTTCTCTTTCCCTCCTTTTTAAATAATATGACCTCATTTTTTTTAGCTAAGCGGCTTTCCACTAGTGATGGTTGAGATTATGTATCAATTTGGCGAGGCCATGATTCTCAGTGGTTTGTCACTTATGCAATGATACATGATGTAAATGACACAGTGATGCAAACTCTCTGCTTGCCGAACGTCAAACATGGGGAGAGATGCTTGGACCAAGTATAAAACAAAGGATACTCTGGGAAAGAATCACATAGTGGAAAAACTTGAGTGTTATTTTTTGATCAAGGACAGATCCCAAGGTATTTCCGAGAGTCATAAACTGCCGGGT